GATCTTGTGTTATGGTCCCACAGGTCTCTGAGGTTCTGATAAATTGTTTTAGACTATATTTTCTCTATTGTTCAGATTGAGTAATTTCTATTGTTCTGTCTTCCACTTACTGATTCTTTTCTCTGTTCCCTCCATTTTACTGTTGAGTTCATTTTTGCATTTAAAATTTTGCTATTGTGTTTTTCAGTTTCATTTGGCTCTTATTTGCTGAGACTTTCTGTGTTTCATTTGTTTCAAATGTGTTTGTTACTGCTTGTTGAACCGTTTTTATTTTGGCTGATTTAAAAATATTTTTTCAGATAATTCTAACATCTCCATCATCTTGGTGTCATCGTCTATTTTCTTTCAAGTTGAGATTTTCCTGGTTATCACTATGGTAGGTGGTTCTGAGTGAAAGCTGCATATTTTGAGTATTACATTATAAGACTAATCACCACTTAAACCTTCTGTTTAGCTGGCTTCCCTTGACACTGCTCCAGCAGAAGGGCCTGACATTGCTGCCAGATAGGGTTAGAAGTTCAGGTTCCCCAAGATGGGGACGGATCCCCCCTTATTGCTGGATGGGTGTGGGACCTCTGCCTCTTACTAGGCCTCTGCTGATATCACCCTGGCTGAGTGGAATGGGGCATCTCATTACTGCTCATTACTGACCTCTAGTGACACCACTGGGGGGTGGCCTCATTACTGCTGAGCAGAAGTGAAGGCCCTGACACCCCATTTGGCCTCCTCTGACACCATGTCAGCAAGGAAGGAGAGGGGTCCCTTTTACTGCAGGGCAGGGATGAAGTCCAGGCTCCTCACATGGTGGTCCCCACTTAAGCCATTGGGGGGGGAGTGTGTAGGGAGGAGGTGGAACTCCCTAGCACCCAGCAACCGGTGAATGTCCAAACTCCCTGCTCAACCTTTTACGAAGCATCCGTGTGAGGACTGGGGGCCAGGCACTGTGTAATATCTTTTGGAGGATGCCCACTCAGCCTTTGCTCTCCTGAGTGGATATGGGTCTACTGTATTAGGCTGCAGTAGAACAGATATTGTCTAAAAGCTTTCTGTCTTGCTAGGCTACCTATTTCCTGGTCCTTTGGCTGGGGACAGGCTTCTCTTGGGGCTTTTTGTTCTAAACGTCAGGTTTTTAGTTGTACTTAGCAGGAAGAACAGGGAAAAGTAGGTCTTCTCTGTCTTCCTGAAAACCCAAGTCCTGAGCTGTGTATTTTTAGTGTTGGCAGATAGGACAGTACGTTTGCATGTCAGTTTGTGAGGTTCAGGATGGGGAGGGATGCAACAGTGCAGTCTGGCCGGGGGTGGGAGCAGGTGGGCTCCACTGTACCTGGCAGGGCTGTAGACAAGTGTGTCCTTGAGAGGCTGGGCTTTTATTCTCATTGCTTCTGGTTTTGCCAGCATGGCTATTCTGGGACGTTTTGCTCTTGGAGACATTCCTCACTGTCGCCCTACTGTGTTCTGAATCCCAGTGTCTGACTCCAGCTTGGGCTCTGGCTTGGGTTCAGCCAATAGGAGACTCTTCTGGGCGATTAGGGGATTAGGGAAGGGAGGATGCCGCACTCTTCTTTGGGGTATCCCTTCTGGGGCTCCAGCTCCTTCCAGAAGTACTCAGAGTAGCTTCTGTTTCCTTCTTGGACCCTGGCTGATTGGGTCAGTAAAGGGAGCAAGAGGCAGAGGCAGCAGCTGGGAGTGAAAGGGGGATGGATGTGTGGGGTTTAAGCGGGGAGTGGAGGACAGCAGGTGCGTATACTGCCTGGGGAGGTGTGGTGGGATTGTTGGGCAGTACTGGGGCCCACCTGGGGTTCCTCATATGATGTCATCTGCAGGCATAGGCAGCAAGGAAGGTTTTCTACAGCCATGTTCAGCGGCTGAGAAGGGTTGGGATTTGGCCATGGGTGGCAGACTCCAGGGGCCCATGGTCCCCACCTCCTGGTGTTCACACCCTGGTTTAGTCGTCTTCCTTTGAGTGTGGGCAGGCAGGACCCAGGACTGACCTCCAGCTGACAGGATACAGCAAAGTGGTGGATGTCCCCCTGACACGTAATAGCCTATAAAACTGTGCCTCACTGCTGCTCGTTCTCCAGATGCTCCTTGTTGCCTGAGAAGGCAAGCAGACATACTGGAGGAGCCCACATGGTGAGGATGCAGGAGCCTGTTGGGGTGAAGGGGGCCTCTGAGGGGGCCTCCTATAACAAAACACCATTCTTGCATGGCTATGGGCCAGCAAGAAGCTGCGTCCCTGAGTCCTGCAGCCACCAGGACGTGGATCCTGTCTGCACTGAGTGACCTTGGCAGCAGATTCTTCCCCAGTTGAGCTTCCAGATGAAATCACAGCCCAGTGGCCCCTTGAGATCCCAAGCAGACAACCCAGTTGAGCCACCCTGGCCTTGACCCACAGAAACTCTGAGATTATACACATGTGTGCTTTTAAACCTGTGTACTTTGTGGTGATTTGTTTTGCAGTAATAAAAAACTCGTTTATCAGGTAAGTTTTAGAGAATGATTTGGGGCAAGTAAGAGGAGGCTGTTTGCTGGACCATAGAGGTTCCACTGGGAAAGAGGGGAGTGAGGCCTTGGAGAAGGGACATGGCCTGAAAGAGAGTGGACATTTGTTATACTAAGGGTGGGTGGTATGTTCCTGTGTGAGTCCATTCATGCTGCTGTAACAAAACACCGTAAACTGATGACTTACGCCACAAACATCATTTCTCACAGTTTGGGAGGCTGTGAAGTCTCAGATCACAGCACCAGCAGATTCAGCGTCTGGGGAGGGCCCACCTCCTGGTTCACAGACAGCACCTTCTCACCGTGTCCCCACATGGTGGAGAGAGGAGCCGAGGTCTCCCACGACTCTCGGAAGGGTCTGGAGAGCTCTACCCTCAGGGCCTCTCCAAATCCCAGTCACCTCCCTGACACCCCACCTCTGAACACCATCCCATTAGAGGGGAGGGTTCCCGCCTCCGAGTTTGTTGGAGGGCACATACACAGTCAGTTTGTGACAATTCCAATGGCATGTTCTTCTAAAGAAGCTGGGTGTTTTAGGAGGGGCAATGGCATCCTGGAACTGTCAATGGAGAGCAGGAGGACCCCCTCTGAAGTCTCAGCAGGACCAGTTACATAATTTGTGGGGCCCTTTGTTAAAAAACCAGGGAAAATGCCATTAATGGTACTAAAATACAAAGTTTTCTCTTTTCTTCCATAGTCTCTCTCTCTCGGCTTGTCATGGTGCTTTTAAATTGGTATTTAATGTCATTATTCTAAATAAAAAAATTTAAATTTTAAATTGTTACTATTACTTTTACTAGTCATCTTTATATCATGCCACATCCGTTTTAAATGCAAATACTGAAACATTTAGCTCGTGTGTGGAATTTGTGGAATTGGACTTTTTTGTAGCTGGTGTGTACCTTTGTACTTTGTTCTTACCAGGCAGTGGAACCATTGTATAAAACAAATGCAACTGCTTTATCTCACTTTTATGATACAAGAACATTCTGCCGACATGGCCTGCCTTCGGCTCACTGGTTTGTGAGTGATCACTCTCAGCATAAGTGGTTGGTTAAAGCAGGGAAATACCAGTGGTGAGAAGGATATACGGATTTCCTTGGTCGTTCAGGTTTCTTCAAATGTCATGTCTTTCTGTATTTGAAGTCAGTTCTGGCTGCACCAGGAAGTGTGCGTCTGGGGCTGTCAGTGCCCTGTCTTACTCAGCGGTAGACATGACATGCCTTGTACTTGCTCTGAGTCTCAGCAAACTCCTGTCATCCTGGATCCACTGGAATTCTGTGCTCCTAGGGCATTGTGAAGGTGACTAGGACTGGCGATGCACTATTGTGCTAACTCCAGCCCCAGCACGTGCCTCTGCATCTCAGTGCCAGAAATCCAACTCAGCCAAAGTGCACACTGAGTCCTGGTTTCAGGGCAACCCTGGACAGCAAACCAAGCGGCTGCAAGGCCAAAGGTCATTTCTGGTGCTGTAGGATTCTGGAAAAGGTAAAAAATAAAATGGTTAGTGGTTTGAAATATAAGCCCCAAAGTAGGACAGCATAACCTTACAAGTATAGGAATAGTTCTTACTCTTATGGTGGGTACTATTATATTCTCACCAGAAAAATATTAATTTGCTAAATGCAAAAAATGTAAAAATCACAGAAGAGACAAAACCAAAGGAAAAGGACCCCATGGGTACCGTCGCCATCCAGAGGTAGCCATGTTTTGGAGGGTGTGTCTTTTGGGCTTCTGTTCTATGTAATTTATACATACTTATTTCAATAAAAACATCACAGTGTACCACGTGCCTTAGTCTTTCCACATCTTTAGCATTTCCCAATAGCGAGAACCATCCCTTAGATCATTTTTAATGTAGCACAGAATTTCATGCTGTGCACACATCACAATTTACTTAACTGGCTCTCTGTTGCTGAACACTTAGGCCATTGCTAGTGTGTCCAGAGTTGGTTCCTTCTGGTGGGTTCTTGGGCTCGCTGACTTCAAGAATGACGCCACAGACCTTCGCGGTGAGTGTTACAGCTCTTAAAGGTGGCACAGACCCAGAGAGTGAGCAGCAGCAAGATTTATTGTGAAGAGCAAAACAACAAAGAATCCACAGCCTGGAACTGGAGCCCAGCGGGCTGCTGCAGCTGGCTGGGGGTGGGGGGTGGTCGTTTTTTAGTCCTTATTTGTCCCTGCCCACATCCTGCTGATTGGTCCATTTTACAGAGTGCTGATTGGTCCATTTTGTTACAGCATGCTGATTGGTCCATTTTCCAGAGTGCTGATTGGTGCGTTTACAATCCTGTAGCCAGAAAAGTTCTCCAAGTCCCCGCCCCACCCAGGAAGTCCAGCTTCGCTTCTCGCTAGTGTGAAAAGCTCCTGCGTGGCTAGGACGCTGGAACTCGGGAGCGCCTCGGTGGGAACAGCCTTCCCACTGTGTGGACTTCCGAGGTGCAAACGTGAGTCCCCGTGTGCCTTTCATCACGAGTGGTTTTTTCTGGCTGCCCTAGAGAGAAGACTGGCGGTGGAGCATGCATCTGGAGGGCAGAGACGGCAGGCGGGACCCTGGCACACCGGAGGTGGAGCTCCAGCAGACGTCCGTGCCCCCGGGACTCACTGAACTTGCCGCGGGCAAGCGCAGGCCTCCGCGGGGAGCCGGCGGGGCTGACCCCTCGCTCTCCTGCCCCAGCGGGGCCGCTGGGCAGAGCTCCCGGGCTCCTGCAGGCCAGGAGTTTGCTTCATTCCTCGCACAGGGGAGGTGAGTTTGAAATAGTGCCGTCTTGTACATGTGGACTTCACGAAGATTGGGTTTCCGTGAGCATCGTTCCCCCACGTTTGTTGTGGGAAACATTTCCAGAAACTTTCCAAGAATTTTTCCAGCGTTAGATCCCTTTCCTGGCTTAGTTTTTGATGACTGATATTTGTAAAATGTGATGAGCTTAATTTAGCTCCAAAAGATAATACAAATAGAAAAGAGAGTTTGTAGCATGAAGATTTAACACCTAATGTATTATTTAAGGTATTGCAATTATTCTGCAGTGTTGGAAAGTGTACGTCTCTTAGGACATGCTTTATTTCTATACATATAGCAAGTGGAACTGAGTAGTTCATGTCAGAAAAGTCAGAATTTACATAAAAGGAAATTTAAAAATAATTTCAACATTTATTTTAGATTCAGGGGTTAAATGTGCAGGTTTGTTACCTGGATATGTTGTGTGATGCCGAGGTTTGGGGTACGACTGATCACCCGGGTAGTCAGCATGGTACCCAATAGTTAGTTTTCCACCCTCCCTCCTCCCGCCCCCGTGTGGTCCGAGTGTCCCCTGCTGCTTTCTTTATGTCCATATGCACCCGGGGTTAGGGCCCACTTATCATGAGAATATGTGGTATTTGGTTTCCTGTTCCTGTGTTAGCGCGTTTGGATAATGGCCTCCAGCTACATCCATGTTGCTGCAAAAGACATGATCTCATTCTTTAAGAGAAAATTTTGATACATCTTTAAATATTTACTTATGTAAAGACAATGAATGGATTTTACATGTCAGTCCTTATACTCCAAATCCATAATTTGCAGTTCACGTAGATGTCCTTGTAATGAGAAAAGCAGCATCCTATGAGTAGATGTCTCTGCCTGTCTTTATTGGGGCATATCGATTACATGGCAGATCTGAGGAGCCTCGTTCCCACAGCCGGAGCCCTGACCCCTGCAGTAGTGTTGGTCTCTCCAGCCTTTAACAAAGCACCACAGAACTGCATGCGGGTGTGGTGCGTGCTGCTGCTGTGATCCTGCCCCCTCCCGGGGGAGCTCCCCAGCCTGCGTGCTCATACTTTCGCTGAGTGTTTCTACTGACTGAGAGTCTATGCTGTCGTTTTGCAAATGGTGAAACTTCGAGTTGCTCTCTTTGGCAACGTGTTTCGAGGTTTCTCTATGCTGATGCCTGTAGCTCTCGTTCATTCTCGTGAACTCCTTGCATAGAATTTCATTATGTGAACGTGCCACCATTCATACATGTTCTCCTGTTGGCGGCTTTTCAGTTTTTGCTCCTCACCCCCCCAGCGTATACTATTAAAAACAGCCTGCAGTAAATGTTCTCTGTTATACACTGAATGTGTTTGTTTCTCCCAGATTCGTATTGAATATTCTGAGAATTAACTTTCTCTGGTCCCATGTTGCAGGATCTTCTCCCAGCGAGAGGCTTGCCTTTTCCTTTGCTTTCCAGAGTGTTTTGTTGGGAAGTGTCTAATATGGCCGGAAGGACTGCATGGCCGTATGCATGGGGAGGCAGATGAGGCAGCAGGATTGTCCCAGCCAGGATGTGAGTGATGGAAGGCTAATGTTCAGCTTCCACTGAGACAAGAATCAGGAAAACCAGACGAGCATATTTGCAAGTTCTTTGACCTCACTTCTTGCTTCGATGTACGGTGTACCAGGGGCAGACTGGGGCCCGTCATGAGCTCCACAGTTAGGAGGCCCTGGGCACCCAGGCAGGATTCCAGGTGGAGGAGAAGGGAGGGCGTGGAGAGGTGCTGACAGGTGCAGGAACGTGGGGGCAAGAGCTGGCAGATGTGGTGGTCCAGTGAAGGGAGGGCTGAGGGTGCCCTGACCCCACAGCCTGCCCAGGGTACGGGGAGGGGGTGTTGGGATGGCACTGGCAACTACCTAGGCTGAGTGCGGAGATGCCAGAAGGTGCCACCCGTGTCCGCAGGCATGAGCCCTCACGAGTGAGCAGCACCTCCCATGTGGAGCTTCTCCCCGGAGGAGGAGCAACAGGGAACTGCAGCCTCAAGGGGCGGCTCTCAGCACCACGAGGAGAATGGCGTGTTGGCCCAGCCCACCCACGGTGAGGAATCTCGGGGGAAGGGCTCACGGGTGTGAATGTCTGAGTACGGAGGGCACAGGCTGTTGCCCATGTGCACCTAGGCGAGCCGCCTGAAACAGCACACTCCCGGGCAGGTGTGGGACCGTGTCGCCTGGTGGCCATGTGTGCAGTATCCCAGCACTGTCATCTCAAGCTGAAGGTTACTGAAGGGTTTTATTACATTTTGCCTTTCTTGTTTCATGAAAATAGGCAGAAAATGAAAAAAACAAAACAAAACAAAACAGTATTCTTATTAGAGAGAAAATACGTAAGTCTTTGAACCTAGCATAGGTGGAAGTCTTAGGTATGTGGAAACCTGCAAACCCCTTAGCCTCAGTGAAGTCGAACCCATCTATTACGGGTTCAGTTGTGGAGAATGACCAGAGTGAAAGAACACTATGAGATGCTGCAAATAGATTGCTTCAGACTGTGTTGAAAAGGTAATTTGGGGCACTGAACTAGCCTATGTTTTAGCTCTCAGGGAATCATCCGCTTGCAGCCTAGTTTTCTGTCGTTTGTGCAGGGGAGAAGCAGGCAGAGGCTGCAGCCTGCCGTGTGCCCTTTTTCCTTTGGCTCCCAGGCAACTCACCTGAGCTGCCTGGGATTTCTTGGGTCAGTTTCATCACCTGTATACAAACTGATAAGTAGGTATTTTCTTAAAATGATTAAAATCTGTATGAAACAAGGCAGGATATATATATAAAGAAAGCTGGAAGGGAGAGTGAATTCATAATCTATTGCCAGGTAACAAATTTCTCCCAAATTTAGCAGCTTAAAAGAGTACATATTTATTTTCTCAGTTTCATGGGTCAGAAATCTGGGCACAACTGACCTAGGTCCTCTGCTCAGGGTCTTCATAGGCTGGGACAAGTTGTCAGCTAGAGCCATAGCATCTCAGTGTTCAGCTGGAGCAGGATCCGCTTCTGAGCTCATCTGTGTGGTTGCTGGCCGGCTGCGGTTCTTCCTGGGCTGTTGGATGGATGGGCTCAGTTCCTTGCTGGCTGTTGACTGGAGGCCACCTCAGCTCCTTGCCAGGGGCCTACTCCATCTGGGCAGGCACAAGGGATAGTCTTTTGTGACCTAATCACAGAGTGACACCATCCCTTCTTCTGTATTCTGTTGGTTAGAAGCTAGTCACTAGGTCCAGCCCACACTCGGGGATGGGATTGTGGGAGGGTGTGAGTACCAGCAGGCCAATTCCTGGGAGCCACTCAGGCACCACTGACCCCAGAGATGAATAGTGGTGAAGGAAATTGTTGTGAAAAAGTTGGAAATGGAACACAAAGATGATTGGTGTCTTTTATAGGAAGTGAAGGGAGGTCTGGAATCCTTCCAGGTTATCTGCATTTTTCACTGTTTGCAACTCATCAGAAAGCTGACAATAATGCAGATGACTCTTTTCCCTAGAAGTAAAGTGGATTGTGTCTGTGGAATGCATTGTTCAGTTTTGCATTTATTTGTAAGTTCAATTCAACATTGTCACCCAGGCTGGAGTGCAGTAGTGCAAACTCAGCTCACTGCAACCTCCGCCTCCCAGGTTCAAGTGATTCTCCTGCCTCAGCCTCCTGAGTAGCTGGGACTACAGGCACTCGCCACCACATCTGGCTAATTTTTGTATATTTAGTAGAGACGGGGTTTCACCATGTTGGCCAGGATGGTCTCGATCTGCTGACCTCTGTTCCACCGCCTCAGCCTCCCAAAGTGCTGGACTACAGGCGTGAGCCACCGCTCCTGGCCTAATTCAGCATTTCTAATTGCCTGTGTATGTGTGGTTTTTTGCATCTCATCAGTTTCCTCTGATTGATGAGTTAAACAAAAGATTGACCTGCATTCATTTTATGTTGGGATGAGAGTCATGGTTTTACCCTCCTTTAACAATAGTCCTATAACAGAGGGAACCAACCACAAAGACCTATGGAGAAAGCAGACTTCATTCTCTGGGCACCTCGACCCTTGTCTTTCGGACCCTGCACCTGCTCTGTGTGTCCAGCCCTGGAACGCTGCTGGACACTCCTCAGGGCTGTTTCCCCCCGTCTTAGCTGAGGACTTCCACCCTTTTGTTAGAGGAATACGTCTTGTCCATACAATCGTAATGACATGAAACAAACAAAATTGCCAAATGAAAGATGAATTTTTTTATCCAATATGCTAATTTTATTCATAAAAATGTAAGCACAGGGCTGGGTGCAGTGGCTCACGTCTGTAATTCCAGCACTTTGGGAGCCTGAGGCAGGCAAATCACCTGAGATTGGGAGTTTGAGACCAGCCTGACCAACATGGAGAAACCCCGTCTCTACTGAAAATACAAAATTAGCCGGGCCTGGTGTCACATGCCTGTAGTCCCAGCTACTCGGGAGGCTGAGGTAGGAGAATCGCTTGAACCTGGGAGGCGGAGGTTGCAGTGAGCTGAGATTGCACCATTGCACTCCAGCCTGGGCAACAAGTATGAAACTCTGTCTCAAAAAAAAAAAAAAAAAAAAAGTGAGCACAGAGTGACACAAGACTTCCCCAGTCTCTTCACTCTCTCTTTCCCGTTCGCTTTGCCTAAAAATTAAATCTCAGAAAATTTTGAATCAATTTTTCTCTGTATCTCAAAATAGTATGTAAGAACGACAGATATACTTAAATGCATTTGGTTGTCAGATTGACAGACTTAAATTATTTTTTTTAAGTCAAGATTGTGTGGGAAGGTTTATTTCTAATCAGTGGAAAATGTAATTAATGTTTTCTAATTGTTTTCACAAATCAGGAATTAATTGACCTTAAAATTTGGCCTTTCAAAATTAGCTAATTACCTTTCGGTCTTCCACTTAGCAGGAATATATATGGTGGAAGGTTGGACAGGGAAGCAAATTAGAGAGAATATGTTAAAAAATAATGAAGATAAATTATTTTAAGA